CGCAGCTGGAGACTATACGGGGCTTTGCGGGGAACGGCAGCAGAGAGCGGGGACACGAGGTGGCGAGGAAACACTTTTAAACAGGTCTCCCGTGGTCGGTCGGGATTGAAGTTAAACCTGCAAAGCCAAGCAAACAAAACGCCATGAACCAAAAAAATCCAGTGAGATGCTTTGTTGGTACTCCGACCGGTTTCGCGGTTTTTGCCGCTCGTCAGGCCTGCGTATCCGGTGATCTTTCGTCAGATCGTTCATATACTTGTACCCAGGAAGTATTTTCGTCACAATAACTTTGTTTCCAACACCGGACAACCGTTGGATAGACAGCAAATGCCTTGATTTCGAATTGTTTTATCACCGCATCAGTTAGTAGGCCGGATATTGGTGATCCTATTAGAGTTCCTTCCACCTGTCGATATATCCTCCCGTCAAACTGTAGGTATGTTTCCATGCAGATTTCAAGCAGCTCCATGATGTCAGTCACTAATAGTGGTGTTTTTTCTGGAGGACGAGGATCATCTGTTATCAGATTCCGTATGCACTGCATAACTAATTGTGTCTGTATGTTTGTAAACAGAGAAGTGACATCGAAGGACACCACGTTTTCTTTCGGTTTCTGTTGTAATACTCTTATTCGATCTAGGAATGTGACCGAGTTTTTTAGGCCGTTGTTTTCTGGAATGGATGGGCGTAATAAAGGAGATATTTAACCAGCTGGTAGTTGGGAGCCGTTGTTGAAGAAACGATTGGACGTACTCCGGTTTTATGTACCTTTGGTAGTCAGTAGATCCGTGGGATTGGACCCTCCGTAGGTTTGATATCTTTGTATTGTTTTTCACTGAGTTTGATGTTTTTCTTTAGTTCTGTGAGCTTTTTAGTCAGCTTGTTACGTAGATTTGTTGTAGACTTTCCTATGACTGGTTGATACATCTCCGAATCACCGATGAGTCTACCCAGTTTTTCTTTTTACTCTGTTTTGTCCAGTATCGCAGTCGCATTACCCTTATCCGTGGGTAAAATGACGATGTCTTGATTTTTGCGTAGTGCTTTTAGTGCTTTGATCCCAGCCGGTGGTAGGTGATTTATGTCTCGGACGTGTGAGTTGCTGACAGACTTTCGTCCTGAGCTGTTATCGTTTTTCTTCAGTCAGTGGACACTGTCGAATTCCGGCCTCAACTGAGGCAATGAAATGGGTTGGCCTTGCGTTTGCGCAGTTGAATTTCAGTCCTTTCAGCGAAACTGATATCTCCCCTGGTGCAAGTTGATATGTTGGGAGATTGTAGATTAATTTGGCTTCTTCATGTTTTATCGGATTCAGTGACAGAAATTTCTTATCGAGTATTTCCCTGGCTTTGTATTGGCGAGTATTTGACTTTGTTTGGATAGCTTTCTTCCAATCACAATTGAGTAATCCTGATGCTTCTGTTTTGAAATGATTGCATTTGTTTGTATAGACTCGTTTTCTGCGGTGAGCGTCGTTAATAAGTTCACGGTGCATTCTCTTGCAATGAAAGTCGGCAGTCATTCGCTCCCGGCTTGATGACACTGGGGGGTTGTATTTAATGCTTTTTGAGAAAGTATTATTGCGTAAACACTGATGAAGAAAGGACAATTGTTCGCACACAGCACCACAGCGGTTGGAGTAGCTTTCCCATTTCCTCACACAGTAAAGCGCATTGAGTCCGAAAATTTCATTCACAAGTGAGAATATCTGCAGCTCAGGATCTATATTTTAAAAAGGAGAAGGCGAAAACTGAGTGATAGCATTTATTTTGACGTTTGGATCCAGACTAGGACTCGTTGCCAAACGATAATACC